AATTAAATTTAGTTGCAAAGTTTATTAAAAACAAAACAACAAAATAAACAAAAAATATATGAAATTTCCTTATAGTAAACATTTTTTCTAAATCTTCTAGTTTAGCTGATTTTATCTGAGCCAATTTAATTTGGCACACCGTCTTCTCCACCGATGCTTAAAATATTGATTGACAAACTAATAATCAATACTAGAAATTGGGATCTATTACGTAAAATTTAAAAGTCTTTAAAAATTTTACTTTTAGCAAAACATTTTAAAAGCCCGTTTGAAATTATTATTTTGATACAGATTCAGAGTCAGTCCTTTTGATTTAATACTAAAATTAACTTAAAAACAGAATGTTGGCTACATATTTATTTAATCTATCTGATTCTGTAACGTGTGGAGGGTGGGTTACCCTACGGCACTTAGGCCTCATTAGGCCTATTGAGCAGCCTCCCAAGATGATAGGTACCTCCTAGCTCGTGAGCCAGCCTACAGATTTAATGTAGAAGAGGGGCTTCTCTTATATCGCCCGATGTTAGCCGATACTCACCGAATACAATATTTCTCATTCATGCAAGTAAATACAATTTATCATGTTATGTATATTTCTGGTACTGATACAGAAATATATGTTAGAAATAAATGAAGATCGATAATGATAAGATTTTATACCTAAATGCCTCTTCTTTTTTAGGAGTCTCTTTCTATTCAAATCACATCCTAAGAATTTCCTTATAGAATATTATATGGATTATCTAGTAGATACTTTAAATAAATTTTGTAAATTATTGTAAACAGTTAATGTAAATAATTCCTTCAAAGGCTTGAAAGCTTGGCTTGAAAAAGCTTGGTAGTTCAAGTTTTTTTTTTTTAAAGCTTGACTTGGCTTGAAAAAAAATGTTAGGCTTGGCTTGGTATTTTTAAAATCTTGGCTTGATTTCAAGCCAAGCTCAAGCCAAGTCTTTAAAAAACAAGCCAAGCCTGTGAATCTCTGTCCAAGTGATAAATACATACATACAAAATGTTTAAATCTAAAGACCGAAAGTCCATCTATAACTTAATTTAAAATTACTAGTAGCAATCATTCCCCATTTAAGACCATTATCCTGACTGTAGACTCTTATTCCGACAGTAGATAATTATCTTGTTTGTAGACGCTTTATACGGATTATAGACGCTTGTTCCAATTGTACACTTACCCTTACTCATCCGATATCTGTCATACATATCTTATGTTGTACATTTTAAACAAAAAAATAAATAATAGACATGATCCTATTGACCATAAAGCAGACATAGAGCACGAAGTAACATTTTTAGTTAATAATATTCACAGAAACGTGCTGTGCAATATAATATCACACAAAGGTGATAATATGCTACTTCTAAAGATCCAAATAGAGTGGGATGTGTAATTTTCAAATGAAAGAGAGAGAATTATTATCAGAAATAACAGACTAATCTATGTGGCTAGTCACCCTAGTTGATAAACTAACTTAAATTGAGAATTATACTAAACTTTAACGAAAAGAAAATATATTTTGTTACTATAAAATGTTTACAGCATAATTTTCGTGTCCTTTCAACGTGAAAAGTGGAATATTCGTTTTAATTTTCCGGTCTGGTTAGTTCTCTACTGCTAAAATTGAATTAAACTTTAATGTGTTGTCATTTCATGCTTCGTTGATGCTACTAACATAAAAATATTAGTACTGTCCGGAACAAAATATGATAAAACTTGTAATTAACGATTTTTGTTTCTCAATTAATAGGCTTTTAATTACTATTAAATTTGATTGAACAGTTTGGAATTTGCTATACAGGATAACTGTAAATATAAATTAAAACCCTAATAAAGATAAGAGATTTTCATGGTTAGAATTTATGAAATACCGACAAAATTGTTTTGAAGAAGTGAAACTAACTATAAAAAGATGACCTTATTTTTATGGTTCGATTTTATACAATAAGTTACCCTTAAATTTTAAAGAAAATAAGTTATGAAGTTTTTAAAAATCTGATAACCTAGAATCTAGAATAATTTAGTAATTGGCTAAGAGGGTTTTAGCATGTAAAATTATTAAAATTCTGCCAGTTCACATATTTCCATGCCATTATTGTTCTTTACTATTGTTCTTTTGGTTTAAAGACTACGATTAATGAATATACTAGAGTCACTGCTACATCTTCATGTTTAGATAACATAATTACAAACTTAAACGATTCTTCAACAAATTCAGGTGTATTTGAACCATGTATTTCAGACTATCGAAGCCAGTTTATAACTGTGAAAAAGAATATTGAAAATCAACGACAAATTTTTTACAACAGGATTTTTTCAAAGAAATCCATTGATAAAATCAGATATTTTCTAAGCTCTATTGACTGGGTTATTTTGAAACAATTTATGATGCAGAGTATCTTGCAAATTTTTTAAGAAAAACCTATAGTGATTTGGTTATCAAATTCGGCCCATTTAAAAAATGCGTAGAAAAAGCCAAAAAATCACCGGTAGTTTGGTTCAATAAAAAATAAAATCTATGAGAAATACCGGTGCACCTGAACTGCGGAAAAGATAATCTGGTTCTATAATCCGACACCCGAACTGCGGAAACAAAATAGTTTGACCTGGTCTGTACAATCTTAAACACCCGAACTGCGGAAACTAGTCTGCTAAATAATGGTAGCGTATGGAAAAGAAAAAAAAAGACCAGATATAATTTGAAATTCAATTTTATTTAATAATGAAATATGTAAACAGTAAATTAGTGTGAAACAATACTACCAAATTTGTAAGAGACACACTTGACAAAGTCATACCTATTTATTTGATTATTATTGCAAAATTTTAGATTGAATATATTATTAAGCAGTGACCCAATACTACTGCTATTCCAAAAAACTTAAATAACCTACGAAATATGCAACAAAACAGCCAAAATGGAAGCAGGAGATGCTTCAATTGCGGAAGAATCGGGCATCTTGAAAGAACCTGTAGAAGCATGGCTCATTCTATAAATCGAGAATCAGCGAATGAGACCGGAAAATCATATAGATCAATCTTTCCAAGCCCATCACTAAGACCAACAAGAATTAATTACAGCAGCTGTGCGACCCGAAGAAGCCAATCACCCACACCGAGCCGGCTTTCTAACAACAACTAGAAAGTATAGCATCGAAAAGGTCTCCTTAGCAACGCAGAAATTCTTTTTGGGCAACCCCGTTTAGAGAAACAATGGCATGTTAAAAGGCTCGATGAACGAGAAGAATTGGTTGATAAAGTTACTCTTCGGGCAACCACTATCAAGTCAGAGGGCGACGAAGAAGAAATCACCCTTGAAAGTCTGAGACAGGGACAGAAGAAAGACAATGACTTAAAGGTTGTCCGAGAATGGCTCAAAAATTAAGTCACACCTACTTGGCAAATACAGTAGAACTATAAAAGGCTACTGGACCCAGTGGGATTCCCTGTATCTTCACGATGGTCTATTGCACCGGAAGTGGGAGAGCCCCGATGGAGTACACGTAGTCCGCTAAGTGATACTGCCCAGGTCACAGGTGTATTGGAGGAGCTTCATAGCAGCCGTTTAGGAGGACACTTTGATACTAAAAGGACACTGGCACGAGTTCGGGTGCAAAAAATGTGATGTATGCAATGGCAGGACAAAGATCTATGGATTCGCTCGGGAACGACTGAAAGCCCACACCGATAAAGCAGAAGCTAGATTTGAGAGGCGTGCCACAGATAGACATTATAAAATGAACCGCTTGGGGCAACAAGCAACATAAGCCACATTTTGATTAAAAATGAGTTATTAACCATTACATCTCTCTGCACCTTTTACCCACGCTATAAAACCAAACTTTGACTATTGGATAATAGATGGCGCCTATGATCGAAGAGGTCCTTGTTAAATATTTTACAAAATGTCAATTATTTCTAGCAAGAAGGTCATAAGCCTCACAAAATCTATCATGGCCGCTTCCCAACGAGCAGCACGCAAACGTGTTATGCGTGAAATAGTGTAAAATTTTAGTGGTTCTGATAAGGATTTTGATACAGATGATTCCGTTATCGATACGGATTATGTTGCGAGTAGTGGTTCATCTGGAAGTGAATCTGTGGACGATTTAAGTTTATATCAGTAGTGGCTTATGCCATTTTTAGGCACTTGCATGGTGGCTTATGCCTTTTTTAAAATTTTAATCTATTATTATTAGACATATATTATTAGTAAACATAACATTAGCCAGATTTATTAATTTTTTTTGCTTTTAACCAAAATACACTTTTAAATTGTGAGTGGTTTATGCCCTTTTTACATAAAATTATTTTAACTCTTTTTTCTGTTTCAGGAAGAGCCTGACAACAATAACGTATCAAGGGGTACAAGTCCTGAAAAAGCGGGCCCTTTTAGGTGGAGACAGTCTAATGAAAACTGCCGAAAAAAATACAAATCGCGTATGAAAAGCAATTTGGGATATTTATACACATCTTCAAGGGGAAAGAAAATAGAACGAAGAACTTTGGGAGCACCATGTTCATGCAAAAAGAACTGTAGGGCTAAGTTGCAAGGCAGAGAAGAGTCAATTTTTCATTCATTTTGAGAATTGGCTTCATATGAGAAACAAAATACATATTTATTTTCTTCTATTACTTCCATTCCAAAGAAAAGGTCCTACAAGAGAAAAACTAAATGTCAAGAATCCTCACGAAAATTAAGCTTTGTTTATTAAAGTAAAAATAAATGGGGTTGATATTCAAGTGTGCAAAACAGAATTTTTGGTGGTACATAGATTGCAAAATTCTCTGAAGCGAGTTCGTAATATAACTGCTCAAATTTCAGAGAGACGATCAATTGCAAAACCAGATACACGTGGGAAACATCACAATCGTCCAAATAAAATTTCGGATGAGCGAATTCAGTCAATCTTTGAGCATATAGAGTCCATTCCAAAGTATGTGAGCCATTATAGCAGAGAGAAAAATCCTGATAAAGTATATCTTGACCATGATATTAATATTTCGATTCTTTACAAAGATTTCTACGTGCCATGGTGCCAAGAAAAAAAAAATAGAACATGTAAAAGAAGATACGTACAGACGCATACTTTGCTCAAAGTTTAATATAGGATTTAAATTACCCAAAGTTGATACTTGTGCCACTTGTGACGAGCTTAATAATCTAATTCAAGCCAATAAGGAAAATCAAGCTGTTTGGAAAGACTTAAAAATCAAACTTGAACCTAACCAAAGAAGAGCAGCTGCCATGCAAGATGATTTAAAACTAGAAACTAAAGATGCTAAACTAAACCATAACAAACTAGTAATTTCTTTTGATTTGCAACAAACTTTACCCACTCCTCTGCTTACGGTTGGACAAGCATTTTATTTACGTAAGGCATGGACTTATAACCTTGGTGTGCACAACTGTAGTGATGGATAGGCAAAGCTGTATAATATGTGGATTGAAGATGTTGCTGAGCTGGGCAGTGAGGAAATTGCCAGTTGTCTTTTAAAATATTTAACATCGCGACCCACGACAGGACAAGAGGATCTGATAGTATTTACAGACAACTGTGGAGGTCAAAATAAAAATTGGTTGCTTATGATGCTATGGCTACAGTTGGTACGAGAGAAAAAGTACAAAACAATAGAACATCGATTTCTGGTGTCTGGGCATACATACCTACCATCCGATAGAGATTTTGCGGTAATTGAAAAACATAAAAAGTATCTAAGGCAGGTTTATTGTCCTCAACAATGGTACGAAGCAGTTTCTAGGAGTAAACGAGTAAAACCTTTTAACGTCGTTATCATGAAACAGGAACATTTCTTGTCTTTTCAAAATATCCCATTTTGAAAGAAAAATGTAACAGAGGATAGAGAGCCCATATAATTTACCCAAATACGATGTTTCAAATTTGACTGCAACTTTTCCAATATAATATTTATCAAGCATTTGCAAAATGAAATATCTTTTAAAACAGTTAAAATCGGTAAACGGGGAATTTCTACAAGCGAAATGAATAATATCCTTCAGAACCTACCAAGAAAATATCAGCAACGTCTTAAATTAAGTGCAGAAAAAATAGCTGATATTAAAAAATTGCTTAAATACATACCTCTTATGTTCCAGCAGTATTACCTGGAACTAACTGAAAATGCAGGACATGAACCACTACCAATAAATTCAGAGGCAGAAAATCTCGATGGCGAATTGGAAGACTTTCTCATAGATGATGGACTCTAGTGGGTGACTAGTGCATAAAACTTTATCATGCTAAATATATTTTATTCGAGTGTTTCATTGTTTTTTTAAAGTTTATGTTTCATTAATAATAGTTCCGTTGTTTAAATGAAGAATATTCGTTTTTTTTTGTATACATAAAGGTCACAAGCCACATTTTTTTTTTCAAAATATATATTTTTTTCAATTATTATTATTATTATTTTTTATTCCAAAAGTATCTTATCATTAACTATTCACTTTAACCCAAAAATTACCCAAATACTATTATCGAAATATATTATTTGTGATTTCAGGATTTGGTGAAAATATTAAAATTGCTTTTTCTGGAAATAATGAAAATAAGGCTTATGCCTCTTGTTGCCCCAACCGCTTCAAATATTTTTTCCGTATTCTTTTTTGTATTCTTCTATTTCATTTATTCTTAAATTATATTAATATGCATAAAAATGAATAAAAAGATTAAAGAAGTAGCATGCAAAACAAAACAAAAATATGTAGCCTTGGCCTTATAGAAAAATGTATAAAATAAATTATACTTTTATATACCATGGCCACTAAACTATGATCTCAATTTAAAATAACTCTAGCTAGCCTCTAAACTAAGACCATTATGATAGCAACAATTGTTTTAAACTTACTTTGCTTTGCCTGTAAAATTTTATTTTTTGATTTGGTAGGTACTTTAAAAGTTGATATGCGACTTTTACTTTACTTTTTTGTTTCATATCCTTTTGTCTTTTCAGTTATCGTATTAGAATCCTTTCTTTTCTTGAATCTGTTTAAGTTCTTTTTTTTTAGTGTTCATCTCTATTAAAGCTTTTCCCTTATCAATTCCGATATTTCCAATCTAGTCAATTCATAATACTCTTATGTGCCTTCCTTACTGAATTTTTCTTGATTTTTCCATTTCCATTAATTTTCTTGTTATTATGCCTTGTTTCCTTCTTATTATGTGATCATCTATGTATCTGTAACGTGTGGAGGGTGGGTTAATTCACAACACTTAGGCCTCACTAGGACCATTATCTATCCTCCTAAGTTGATAGGCAACCATTTTTATTATTACTGGTTCCATAGTTAGTTTTCTTGTGTTTTTATTCCTGTCTGTCATAAATAATAATTCCTACTGTTTTCTTAAATGTTTCATTTCCATTGCATTAATTTTTGCCCCATGTTTTTTGTGCAATATTTAGCTATTGGAATCAAAAGTTGTTGTTATTGTATATTTTAAATTTTAATTTTTGTATCCAAATCAATATTTATATTTCCTAGTATTGTTTTATTAAAGTAGTGGTGTATTTTCGTTGATTTGTTTATTAAACTTATAACATAGATGTGTTTATTTTTCCATACCTTTTAAAAACCTCTGTCCCGAAAAAAACATTTACGTACTGATACATAAAAAATAGTTTTTCCGAAAGTTAAGTGATAAGAACCCACAAAAATATACTAATTTTAACATTATAACTTATAAAATTAAATTTCTTAGACTCTCTTTTACAATAATATATGCCGGGTAAACCAATTATTTCGCCAAATTTACCTTATTAATCTGTGTGAAATTCTTTCCGTATTGGATCGAAAAGAAGAAATCTTTTCCAATTGTGGTTGACTTGTATCTTAATATAGACTTGATTAGCAGAACAAAGTATCGAAAACAGTGAGATTTGGCACAATTAACGTAATGTGGGAAGTAGACAACTTTCCAGTCTGCTTCTAAAATTGTAAATCTGCTACGCTAATTTGGTCAATCCAATGAATAATTTTTGGGTATGAAATGCATATATGTATAGTATTTCTTTTTATTCTTTTGGTTAATCAACGATGTTATTTTTGGAGGTAATTAAAACACTAATTATTTTATTCTAAATATAGAATGTTGCTAACAACTTTTTCTCATAGCTATCAATCATACAACTCAATAGTGAAAAAGTATTAAAATATTCATGGAAGTCGTAAAAAACAAACGATCAACTAATTAGGAATAAAGTCTGACAATGACGAATATTCAGTAGTTTTAGTTTCTATATATTGTAACAGTTAAATCCGTTTTCGTTATTTTACCCAGACCCGTTCTCGTTATTTTGAAACCAACATCTCTATACAAACGTCATTTGTCGTTTATGCCTTGTGTCAAAACTCGGGTTGTCATTGCAATTTACCTCCTGTCTCGAGCTAGTTGATTATAGAATTTTAATTATCTATTATCTTAGACATCCGATTTACTAGTTACCTTAAATTATTTTAATTGCCATCTGATTATAATAAGGTAAGTTTCCTACCGATATTTTGTTGAAAATATATATTTAGTACAAGAAATGTCAAATTTGAAACATAACCTCTACACCTTAACACGTTGAAAAACATAAGAAATCACATGTTTTATACAATTTCATCTATTATTTTGTTTAAAATAGATAATATGCTTTACTATATTTATATATGTTAAATAAGACTTTTTCTTTACCTATTGAATTTGGTCTCTGTGGAGCTTTTCTTTTAATAATTTAAATTATGCATTTGATAGTGAAAAGCATCTTATCTGTTCTCCCTAATTCCTTTATTTATATTTTTACCTATTTCCTTGTAGCCTTGCTGTATATAGATGGTCTGAAAATCTTAAAGAAGTCTTATGTCTAAAGGAAATCTTGAAGAATTGATTTAGATGGTACGATAGAAACTATATCAAGAATCCAATAGCAGCTGTCTCTACCTGAATTTTAGAAGAACTTACAAGCTGCTTGTTGGGAAATTCAATTCGGAAGAACGTAGAATACATCAAGAAGTTTGCAACAAGATTTAACACTATTTTGTAAAGAAGGCCTCTACAGTTACCTGTTACCTGTTTCCTGTATACCTCAGATAAGTCTCAATAAATCATTTAAATTTGAATAATTAAGTCTCTGTGAATTAGAATTTGTCGCTACCTTATTTAATTATAATATCATAAAGATCAGTGGTTTTCTATATTTTCATCATTGATCGATTGTTAAGTCTAGAAAGTTTTAAATATAGTGGCGTCCAATATTCTCTTTCAAAGTCATATGAGTTGTTTATTAACCTGACCCACTTCCCAAAATCGTAGAGCTCAAAACACTATAAACATTTATAAAATAATAACATCACATTACAATATGTCATTGAATAAGGAGCAATCAAAGTATTTTTTCAAAATAATATTTACATTGTTCGAAGTCGTTTCCACTATAGTGTTGCTAGATGAGAATTCCATGGAAATTGTAGAACAGTAGACTGGTAGAAGAAAACAGAAACATATTAAACATAATCCTAAAAAAAATTTGGTGTGAGGGTAGCCATATGTGAGTAGTAGGGATTAAGTGTAAGGGGTTAAAGAAAAGGTCCTTAATTTCTCACAAGTCAATTTAATTGGCGACCGGTTTCGAAGCTGTCACTTCATCATCAGGCACACCTAAATGGAATGTCAAGGAGTCAGTTGTAATAAAAAACAATTATAAAAGCATGAACGGACTTTAACATATACAAAATAACAGAAAAAACACAAAAGAAGTTAAACAATAACCTTGACTCACCTTGACTATTTCCATAAAGGAAGCGCTACATAAAGTTTAACAAAACGAGTTAAAAAAGTCATATGTAATACAATAGTATTTTTTAAAAAATAATAGGTTAGGTTAAACCGCGAGATCTGTTTGAATAAATTAATTAAAACACATGTAAGACAATTATTAACTAAACAACACAAAATAGTTTTTACAAGCACAAACAGTTTAAAAATTTTTAAGGATATAACGTCAATTAATGAAAGTAAAAAGTAAAAAGTAAAAATTATCAGACTCTCAAGATATCTATCTAGATTTTTAACGAATCAATGTAGTAAACTGTAAATTTTAAATTTAGCGGATAAATAGTGTACTAACAAAGGTGTTATTTACTGAAAGTGAGTATAGGTGGCGGTGACAAAATTTATTGAAAGTAAAAATATTAAACTGGGAAATGAGAAAGCAAAAAATACTAACAAGAAAATTAGAACACTGAACAAGAAAATATGAAAATTAATATGTAAAGGGAAATTTGAAGCAGATAATCAAAAGAAAAATTACTGTTACAGGAAACGGAAACTAAGTTGACAAGTACGAATGTAAAAAAGAAGAAAAGTCAAATTTTGGCGTATGACAACCACGTGGGAGAATTTGAATAAACTAATAAAACAT